ACCAATAAGAATCCACGTAGAAGCAAGGTGAGTAGACATGTTTGATTGGACAGAATACAGTTGTAATGTAACAAATCACCGTCGATACTGGCTGTTGAACCTTCATCACTCGTCGATAATGCCCAGGGTCGACGAGTACTCGGCTGATGACATTGCCGCGTTCCGAGGTAGTGGCATAGATGGCGCCATGAACATGTTGCTAAGCATGCCCAACAGCCCTGGAAACATCATGCCGGCGGCGGGTACATGGACGCGTGAATCTGCCAATGCCATGATGCGGCATTACATGAAACAGACAAACGTGGATGCGTCGACGCTGTCGGTGGTGCATGTGGCCGGCACCAAAGGAAAAGGCTCCACGTGTGCTTTCACTGAGAGCATTCTGCGCTCCCATGGAGCCAGGACTGGATTGTTCATGTCATAGTTCTGGATACAAGATCCGGATCCACGTGGCTGTACCACGGCACACAGGTTTAAGACAAAGTCAGGCCCAAACCCACGAGCGGCCAACGACGCCGCTACGTGCCAAGGAAACAGCAAAGGGTTCGCCTCCCCTTTGCTTCGGACCACCCCGGGCCCTTTATGTTTACCAGCTCAAGATGGCTGGTCCTGCTCAGCTTAGTCATAGCGTTAGATTGCTATAATGCTATCAATTCACTTCTCATTTTACCATCTACTGCGCCTTCCTCTGAGCATGCACGTTTACACCTGGTAGCACTCCACGTTCGTCCACGGCCTATGTCTTCCTCCTCCACCCCCATTACACCAGCGCATCAATTGGTCCTCGACCGGATGTACCTGGTGTTCGGCGAACAAGACACTGCAACCCTTCTTGGGGCCTTTCCCCCGAGAACCAAGCCCGTCTGGTGGAGGGCATCGGTCGACTTATCGACCAAGCCGTCACCCACCTGACAAATCACGCCGCTCTGGAAAGCCAACTGTCCACCATGGCAGCCCATGGTCGTACTTTTGAAGAGTCACTCGCACGCAGCGCGACTGCAGTCGAGCGCCTTACGTACGTGCTCCATACCTCCGAACAACAAAGCCCCTCTCGGCTGAAGCCGATCAAACTAGAGGTCACGAAATTTGGTGGAGCGAAGTCCGACAAACTCCTCCGCTGGATCCTCCAAGTTGAGACCGCTGCGAACGCGCAGCGTATCCTGGACGACGACACTCGCGTCGCTTTCGCGATGTCACACTTGAAAGGCCGTGCCGAAGATTGGGCGTTTTCCAAACGCCTCACGGACCCTTTGTGCTCTCCCTCCCTCGACGACTTCATGCATGAAATGAAGTCCACGTTTCTGCCCTTCAATAGCGACTTTCGCTATCGCACCAAGTTTCTTGAATGCAAACAAGAAAAGCGCTCCCTCCAAGAATACATCCACGACCTTCGCTTTTTGGCAGCGAACGTCAACGACGAAGAATCGCTCCCTGAAGCGATGCGCGTCACTGTGTTCATGGCCGGGTTGAATCAAGGCCCCGCGCGGACTCAACTGTTCCGCGAATATCCCACCACGTTCGAAGCCGCTGTTCGAATCGCGCTCTCAGAGTCGTTTTCATCGACGCTCGCCCACGGCCGCACGAATTCCTCTGACATGGAAGTTTCAACGGTTGCTCATGGTACGGAAGACCGCAAATGCTTCAATTGCGGTCGGGTGGGTCATCTGTTGCGGGCTTGTCGTTCCCCCCGCCGTGTGAACCCCGACCACCCGCGCCCCCAACATACCCCCTCCGGTCCCCCCAACCGCTTTTTGCGTGGCCCATCGCGTCCCCAGCCCCGTTCTTTCCAGAACCCCGCTGGAGCGGAAAACGGACGTTCCCAGTAGGCGCGAGGCGGCCTACTGGGGATACACTGGGTGCATTGGTGATGTGTGGCGTGATGACACACTCCATAGACCCAGCCTCCAACACAGATTTCCTTCTGTGTCGTGTTGGGCTCCAGCCCAAGAAAATGCTGTGCTTTTCCCTTTTCGTGCCTGGCTTCCCTGCCAGACTCACTGTTCTGATCGATTGTGGAGCGTCTAACAATTATGCTAGCCGCTCTACCCTTGGTCGCTTTGGTTTTCTCCCCCGATCGGACAACTCCGATCGGGTCCGTGTAAAGATGGCTGACGGTCACGTCGCGACTCAACCCCGCGTTGTGACTGAATTTGCCATCAAGTTCGATGGTTTCGACTCCATCGAATCCTTCTTCGTGATCGACCTCGATGAGAGGTGGGATCTCATCTTGGGCATGTCGTGGTTGGAATCTCACCAACCCTGGATCGACTGGCAAGCCAAGACCATTCACAAGGTCACTTGGCTTCGCAACCAACAACCTTGGATTCATCGGCGCGCTGCCGACAAGTTTCCCCCTTCGACTTCCCCAGCCGACCTTGCCACAGTGGCGATGAGTAATGAACTCGCCCCTTGTCCCGCCTCGACGCGTTTGTTGGCCCCAACGCGTCTTGGTTCGCAAGTCTCGACTCCGGTGTCGTCCCCTGTTCTCACAG